AATTTTTAGTAACTGGCAGTGATTCATGTGATCAATTGAAGTTTCACACGCAGTCAGAATCCGAAGAAGAACTCCCAGGCTGACTCTAAGGACAAGATGTGGGTTAGTTTTGTGTTTCAAGTTTCTGCACTCAGTTTTTTCTTTTATATTTAAAACGGAGGATACAATATTATGCAGAGGGGAAATTTTCATCTTAATTTTTTCCAGTCAAGAATTTTATCTGTTGGGTGTATATGAATAATCAAAAGTAGTTAAGTGGCGAGTCCACAAGTTTGAGGGGTTAATGGGATGTTAACATTATTATTATGATCCTGGTCGCAGCAGTGGCAGTAGTGATCTTTCCAAATTCAGTTATTTTTTGCAATTCTTTGTTCATCAGCTGACCTTTTAATTTTCTAAAGGCATTCTGAAACAACTCAATACAAGGGATAGTCCAGCTGAAGAAGATGCCTTCTGAATTTATCCTGAAAAATGCATTCTAATAAAAGTACTGAATCTCTTCTGAGCTTATCGTGAAAAATAAGGCTTTTACTTTCGAAGAAACAAACAAATAATGATTTAAAAAAATAATAATAATAAAATAGGGAAAAATAAAACATAAAGATCGAAAAACCAGTCACGAAAATCCAAATATAGATTGTCCACCGTGGAACCACGGACAATTTCAAATTGAATCATTCTTCAATCGACTAACTTGTTTCATTACTTTAAAGAAAAAATAAAATTGCAAACAACATTTACAGGCATGAGTGCATAATTCGCTGAATCTCAAGTCCTAACTCTTCAATTGAATGCATATACAGAATATAAAGTAATACAGGCAAGCAAATGCTTAAATCTACTTTCAAAAGGCTCGGAAATAAGAGAAAGAGAGAGAGGTGTACTTACAGCATCGTGATAAGTACAGGAACCATCGGGATTATCATCCACAGTAAACATGGCGTTGCATCCGATTCTCTGGCATCGAACTCTCTCCATTCTAGCAATCTAGCACACTGTGTGAGAGAGAGAGAAAGAGAGAGAGTAAGAAGCAGCTGGAACGGCACCGTATAGGCTTCTCTTTTGTGTGCGTCAAGACTCCAAGAATTAGGCGCAAGACTCCACCCTCTCCAATTTTTTCATATTATAACGAGTGAAGCAGCAAGGCAATGTTTGATTGCTTCACTTTTTTCATGAATTCCATTTTTCAATTTTTGGTTGTTTGATTGTCCAAAATTCTTTAGAATTGAAATTTCTACTTTCTTGCCACATCAGCATTTTCCATGAAATCAAGGAATTGAAATTCTCACCAAAACGGTGAGAATTTGAATTTCTGATTGCTGTAGCGATTTTTTATTTTTATTTTTTTGGCAATGAAAACAAATTTTAAGAATTATTGTAAATTTTTTTCTTTAATTGACAATTTTCATGTAAAATAAAGCCAATGAACACCAAAAGATAGATGTTTTTCTTGAATTTTTTTTTTGGCAATGAAAATAAATTTCATCCCCAATATCAATAAATTCAATCCCTTTAATTGACAATTTTTATGTAAAACAAAGCCAAACGAACACTAAAAATCACTTTCATTTCAACATTTTTCACGTGAAAAATTATACAAATCAAACACAATAATTTACAATTTCTAGAAAAATAATTTTTAGGCAATTCAATTCCCTGGAATTCATCTTCTTTCCACCCAAATTTCATCTTTGCAATCAAACGGAGCACAAGTTTTTGGAGAATGTATGGTTAAAAAAGAAAGAAATTTTTTGAGTTTACGTGTAATATTATTTTATTGTAGAATATATGGTTTATACGAAAAAAAGATAAAATGAATTATAATTTAATGAAGAATAATGTGGGCCAAAAATTAGGATTCTCTTTTCTATTCTTTAAGACTCAAAAAATTGTTCATGCACTCGCTACTTGTTTGATATTATAAATATTTAATTTATCAAAAATTTTGTCAAACAATCCCTGATAAAAAGAGTTAAATGTTTCATGGCTACTGAATTCTACACCTCATCAAGACTTACCCATTCAACTTCACTAACTTTTTTAATGGCCACTGAATTTAGGTCCGTTGCACTAAATTGGTCACATGATGGATTCTGTCTGTTGTTCTGTGTACGTAAAGGACGAAAATGTGACGTAACAGTTAAAATTGTCCACATGTTGAGAAACTTGCACACGTGAAAGTCAAATCACCCAAACAAACCCTTATCCATATCAAATTAAAACCACGACCAGTTGCAATTCAAGCCCGTCCTCAACCAACAAGGTGGCACCTGTACTCGGCTTGTCTCACATTCAATAGGGAGCCATAGCCAAAAGTGATGCGCATGTGAGGACGCGTATGCGCCATGTTTTTTACGGGATCCGTTTGTAAATTCCTTATTTGTTTAGAAATCTTCTCCAATTAAATTTTGGACATGATTTTTGGCCATATTTCGAGCATTATAAATACCAAAGAGCAAAATTCATTAGGGGCAACTCTCATACACCATTATTCATATATTATCATCACCAAAAAGAGGCAAGTTGATAGTTCTTGGGAGAATTAAAGGGCAATTACAAGATTTCCGTAAATTGAAGACTCAACATTGATCATTGGACAAAGAAGAGAAGATAAAATTGAAAATTCATTAAGAGAACATCATCCTTCTTCTTCTTCTTCTCGAATTATCTATAATTCGAGTTTTGTTTTGATTTCTGCTATGATGTTTTAGTATAAATTCAGTAATTTGACGCTTAATATGTGTTTGTTCTTGGATAATTGTTATATAATTTATTTTTTTGATTCACTGCCCACTAATTGGATTGATTTGTGAATTTTATTATTCTCAAGAGAGATAACATGATAGATAGCATGTTATAATAGGTATTGTAAAGTCCAGTAAGGAATAAAGATATACTACTATATTTTGTATAATTTTATAGACATTCTAGTATTTTTAATGCAAACTTTCATATTCACATATTTCATAGAGATATATGAAGATTACATGAGATGATAGATTTAATTATAGATTTAATTGATATTGAGAATACTATAAATTAACTTAGAAACATTGATTAATAAGAATGTGCAATACTGTTATGCTATTAAATTGCATTAGAATGGATTAATAGGGAATATTCAAAGTCCCAGTAATCATCTCACATAGTTTTACAAAAGCTCTTATAAAATTTTCAATAGAATAGTTAATTTAATTAATTAGTATAAATTCTTCAAATAAGTTTTGCT